ATCACAAGCATGTGATACAACACAATCAGTACTAGCAAAAACAAGATCTAGAAGCACATTATCACAGTTGAGTACGTTGTTATATTGGGACAGATTAAAGAAGTTACTAACATTATATAATAACGATATATTGTTGCTCGATACGTATTCTTGCACGTTGAAATCTCCTACAATTAATAAATTACTTTTATAAAGACCTGCTGTAGATTCTAAGGAATCAAAAAATAATTCGTAATCAGATACCGAGGTAGTTGGATGAATGTAAACAACAACAATAATACTGTGATGTTTGTCTATTTTCAAACAACAGTTTATTTATTAATAATTTATTTAAACACTTATATATTTTATAACACAACTATTTCTAATTTATATATATTTCTAATGTCTTTAAATCGTTCACTATTTATATTCACAGTCCAATACTTTATTGTCAGCTGTCTATATATCACTGATTACTATTTATCTTCACTGTTCATATAATACTGATTCTGATGGCTCTCCTCCACCAATTTATATACAAATTGGTGGTATAGAATGCTCCCCCACCAAAATTGCCAGTATGTACCAGAAACGTTATCACGTTCTAGAAATAGTATCTCGTTGACCCTAGAATGTTCGCGAAAGTGTCTCCACTATAGTCGTCCCATAGGTTTGGTCCTAAGGGGTTTAATAATGTATAATATTCGAACAAGTTGAGCCTCAAAGGCCAAATAAGACAGAGAGGGACTTGTAGGGTTAGAGCATGACTGAATAATGAAATGGCTCACATAACATTGCCCCCTCCTTAAGAGATAGTTCCTCCTGGAACTCTTACGAAACTAAACTGGAATGGTTGTACTTGCAACTGAATCCTCTTTTACAATTTCCAGTTGCATGGAAGTAACAAGGGACTGTCTTCGCTGTAACCTGGGCACTGGGCGAATGGCTGCAGATCAGTATCTGAACTTCGATATCTTGAAAAATTATTTCCACCATGTTCCTAATGATCCTTTAATCCAGCTGATTTCCTTTTATCTTCGGCATGGCTAGTTTCTGTACATTGGACTCCAGTACATGCTCCCTCAGACTGAGTAATGCTTCCCATACATCCTGATAGGTGGATCGATCTCGGAAGGTGTTCTTCGTTATCAAATAGAAAAGGTAGCGCGATTCGTCTTTGAAGTTGATTTACTTCTTCTTCATGGTCACCCTCAAATAGCGCCAACCTATTTTGATGCACTACCTTTGGTTTACCGTTTGGAATCTTACTTATACGGTAAATTACATCATTTATTTTATTTCTTATGAGGTACGGGCCTTCCCAAGACCTTTGAAGCTTCGGAGAATAACCCTTTTGTCTTTTTGGGTTATGGAGCCAGACCTTGTCGCCTTCCTGGAAACCTCCCTCCATGGCTTGGGTATCATATCGCTTCTTCATTCTGTCGCTGGCGATTCGAAGATGGGAGCGAACTAATTCATGCATGTCATCCATTCTTCTTCGTAACTGGATCACATAATCTTCACCAGCTACATCTTCTTCAGGTCGACATCCAAACTCTAGGTCGCACGGTAGTCTCATCTCACGCCCAAACAAGATCTTTGCTGGTGTTTGGCCTGTTGATTCATTGACAGCGGATCTATAAGCCATTGCAAAGAGCGAAAGATACTGATCCCAATCTCGCTGATGGTTTGAAACCACTTTTGACAGATATTTGCCAATGGTCTTATTCATTCGCTCTACCATTCCATCGGCTTGTGGGTGCAATGCTGTGGTTCTGGTCTTCTTCATGCCTAGTCTGTCACAGATTCCACGGAAAAGTTGACTTTCAAAATTTCTGCCTTCTGAAAAAGGAAGGCTCCCATCCTTTTTCGTTGAGGTCCATTACTCATAGCACAGGTGGTACATTTCTTACACCAGTCCTTTACATCATCGGAACTGTTCATCCAGTAAAACCTTTCCCGAACTCTCTGAAGGGTTTTCCTAACACCGAGATGTTGTAATAATTGGCATTATTATTTTTAAAATATAAAGAATTTAACAAAAATCCCAAAAATATCTAATATTTTTAATATCTATTAAATTAACACAACATATTTATTAAAACCAAACAATTAGAAATAGTTCATTGTAGTAGTAAATTAAAGGACAAATCGTGCGAATAATCATTAAAAATAAATAAGTCAAGTTTCTTTTAAAATAATCACGTTTAGGGGGAATTAAATAGAGAGTCAATCGTTGACACAAAGAGACTCAAGGGGCGGCCGTTGGGCCAAACCTATGCCCAAAAATGTAACTTATTAATTATTAGTATTTATTATATATAGTAAAGTGTGTGTGTAGTGTTTTAGTTTCAAAGGTAATATCTATTTTATTTTAACATGGTTAAATCTCTTGTTTGGGTTATGTATTTTAAAACAGTTCACTAGTCTTTCTTCAAATGCCAATTCTTTCATTTTCGTCCCAAGTTTACTTATTAAATGTTTATCAGTTTTAAGGATTTTATCATATAAAAAGCTTTTTATTATATTAAAAAGTTTTTGTGATGTAAAAGCTTTCATTATATTAAAGTTTTATCATATATTATATTATATTAACGTGGTTTATCATAATAAAGATTTATAATTATGGGTAGTAATTTTTGCTTGTCTTATTTCAAAAATAGAGATTGTTTTGATTTATTGAAATTTGTTATTCATTTTTTATTTATATTTAAATATACATGTTATTGTTATTAACCTATTTTATTCTCACCTCTTTCCAAAAAAACAGTAAGAAATATTCCGAGCATGTTAAGCCTCGACGTTCCTACCCTTAAGGACTTGAGAATCTCAAGTCAGTTGCCAAAACCGCTCGACATATGCTATTAAGGGATGTTTTTTTTTTTTGGGGTCTTAACACGAGGAGAGTTTAGAGCTCCTTCCAATTTCAACTTCGACTCCACCTCATGGCATTTAATTTCAATGTCCTTGGCCGGGTCTGAATGTTCCAGTTCTTCTATCTTCTTTTCCATTTCTTTTATTTTCTCTTATCTTATCTTATTTTCCACATCAGCAGAAACTTCATTTTTTAGCGAAGACATATCAGAAGAAATTTCATCTTTCAAAGAAGAGATTTTGTTTTCTAAATCGGAAGAAATTTCGCTTTTTAAAGAAGATATGTCAGAAGTCACCTTTTCTTCTAAGGAAGAAATATCGGACGAAACTTTACTTTCTAAGGAAATAATGTCAGAAGAAACTTTAGTTTCTAATGAGGAAATGTCATTTTTTATGGAGGAAACATCTGAAGAAACTTTATTTTCCATGGAAGAAACTTTATTATTTAAAGAAGAAATGTCAGAAGAAATATCGATTTTCATGGAAGACATTTTATTTTCCAAAGAAGAAATTATTGAAGACGCATCATCGGAAAATAGATATGTTTCCGGATCCAAACCTTCTCTTTCCAGTGCTTCTTTAAGCCGTTCTGCTTTCTTCCCTGTCGTCTCCAACTCGCGATCTTCTAACTCCCGACGTAGCTCGGTCACTTTTAAATCACACAGTCTTTTAGCCATTATTGTCCACTATTTATTTACACTATCCCACTTCTGATACCAATGTGATGTTTGTTTACTTTAAAACAACAGTTTATTTATTAATAATTTATTTAAACACATATATTTTATAACACAACTATTTCTATTATATATTTCTAATGTCTTTGAATCGTTCACTATTTATATTCACAGTCCAATACTTTATTGTCAGCTATCTATATATCACTGATTACTATTTATCTTCACTGTTCATATAATACTGATTCTGATGGCTCTCCTCCACCAATTTATATACAAATTGGTGGTGTAGAATGATCCCCCTCCAAAATTGCCAGTATGTACCAGAAACGTTATCACGTTCTAGAAATAGTATCTCCTTGACCCTGGAATGTTCGCGAAAGTGTCTCCACCATAGTCGTCCCATAGGATTGGTCTTAAGGGGTTTAATAATGTATAATAATCGGACAAGTTGAGCCTCAAAGGCCAAATAAGACAGAGAGGGACTTGTAGGGTTAGAGCATGACTGAATAATGAAATGGCTCACATAACAATACATACGAACTTTTTTCCGCGTTTAAGTTTACACATTACAACGACTATTAAGTAGATGTTGTTTAAACCGAAACAATCCGAGTCAGTATCAACCATAATGGTGTTAATTTCTTTGTTTACGGCTAAAAATACACCCCCGAGTTTAATATTTTTCTTGATAAGTATAAGGTTGCAAATTCCATATTGCTTATAAATATTTCTTTTGTTCTCCTAGATACTTTTTTATTAATTTCGCAATGCAAAATTGGTCATAGACAATTTACAATGTTTGCATTAATCTTGGAGCGTTGCAAATTTGCATTTATTTATAAGAAGGTATTTAAATCTCTCTGTAAAATTTGCAATACTTTTAAAAAAAATTGCAATTGCAAAATGTGCGAAATGCTGATTTTTGTTAATTTTTCAAAGTTCCGGACCTTTTCCGAGGTTGCAAATGTACCAGATTGTTAAAAAAAATAATATTAATATTTTCAACAAATTTTCAAAACTTTTGTTTTTTTTTACAAAAAAAAAATATTTTGGTGCATAATAAAAGGATACATGTCTATGATATAAACAAAAATACTATTTTACAAAAAAAAACTCATGTTTCGGACTTTTAAAAAAGTTGCTAATCTTCAAAATAATACAATATATATTGCAGCACTTTTGCAATTTTTTAATAAAGTTATAATATATTTAAATTTTTTGGAAATATTAATATGTACCGTACCTCGGAAAAAGTTGCAAAATTAAATTTACAATTATTTCAATTTAATAAATATTCCAACAAAGTTTGAAAACTTTTGTAATTAATATGAATTGATTATCTCTAATGACTGGCCTAACAGTAAAGAATTGACGGTAAGAGAGCGTGTCCTCGAGGAAGAGAGTTCATTATATTTGTACTTATATTATACCTTTCTGTTATACGAATATACATTTTATTCTTACCTCCGATTAGCATTACACATATACTAAAAATCTTCTCATATGTAGTATTGGCACTAACATTTCCAAATCCAACACTAGTTAAACTCGAACAGGTGAAGTATAGAGCCGTAACGTAGGCATCTAGGTTCGTTATGTTGTAAACATGCGGAACATGTAACCTTTCGGCCAAAGTGTGAATCCAACCTAAAATAAAATATAAATATATTTAATAATAATCTAAACGATTATCTATTCAGCTACATGGAATTTCAAGGTTTCAATTTTAATTTGGACTCTTTTTACGTAAAATTCAGTTGAATTATAAAAATTCTATCTTACAATTTTATTCGTTAATATTTATTATTAACACAAAATAAACTAATAAATCAATATTACTATTAAAAAAAATACCTTAAATCCATCAGAAAATATAATTACAGCTATGATTGGTTATATTGAACCCGTTAAAATCTATTTAAACACATTAACATTGCAGAGATTCTCCATACTATTTAGTTTAAACATTAGAAACTTATCCAGAGTTAAACATCTTTCTTGGGAAACTAAATTTAATATTTTATTTTTATTACGACCGACCATTCAACAAAAGTAAAACAACGCCTCATCAAGAAGGAAAAATGTTTGCCTCTATCGTTAAGAAACGAACCCATAGACAACTACTATATTTATAGACAAGGTTCGATCCCTGACTAGTAGGTGACATAAGGTGTAAAATTATTGAAAATTACGATTTATTACTTTTCAAAATAAAAAAAAAATGACAAAATGGCTAATATGTTACACGTTCTCCAAACACAAAATAATATTAATAATTAGTGATGGGTCGCTTGGAAAAGACCACGGACAAGTCCGACGGACTAGTCTGAAAAATTGACTAGTCCAAACACACTTTTCAAAAGTGGAAAAGTGTAATGCGCATGAGCGAAATTCAATTAACTAATTCGTCTGAATTTCTTACATATAAAGGCAAAATATAGTTTAAAAAAGAAAAAACGACAAATGTTTACTGTTGCTTTAACGATGTTTTGGAATTTTCATTTCATATCTCATTAAAAAAAAATACCAAAAGATCCAAATGTTGGAATAATTTTTCCTAAAAAAACAAAAACACAAATGCAAATATTGTTCCCAAAGTGTTTTTGAAAAAAACATTCAAGATGGAGATTTCATTACTTTTCACTATTTTTTCGGACTAGTTCAAAAATTACTTTCCATGAAAAGTCCCATCTCTATTAATAATTAAACTTACCTAAATCTGAATCAACTTCTTTCTCTGCAATAACGTACCATATACACGCCAACCAATGAGCTACCAATGTAAAAAAAAGCATAAGGAGTGTAAGGATCATTGCACTGTACTGAGAATATCTGTCCATTTTTTGCAGAAGCCTCGCAAGACGTAGAAGTCTTGTAAGTTTTATAAGATGAGTGTGAGAACTGCTGAGAGTTCCAGAGCTCTGTAAAAAAAATTAAACGTCTTTGTAAATCTAAAGCAGGAGATAAAGTAAACAATACAATTTTTAATGGAAACAAATAAATAGAGAATCATGCCGTTTTTTATATTATTTATTGCAATTTATTTGTCTCACAAATTGTTATTAACAACGTGCTCGAAGAGCACGTTAAAATCTATTATATAATAGGTTTCAAAAAGTATTATACAATGAAAAAAGTTTTATTTTTCATTTCACAAAAAATTATACGTAATAAAATGTTCTGCATTACTTGAACACCCATAATTAGGCATAAAATTTTTAAAATTAAATAATTTGTAATGCACACTTTATTTAGCATTGGTTGTGAATTTTTATTTTTTTATTGAAAAAGTAAATCGAAATCACTTAACAATAAGGGTAATAATTTAAACTTAAGTACATATTTTAATTCCTATCAACATTTTAAATAATAGCTTGCTCTGACATTTAACAATATTAAACAGTGTCTCCTAAAATGTTTTAAACACATGAAAAATGGTATTTTGTTTTTTCAAAAAAGTACTCAAGAAAAGTTTAAAATTTAACAATTTTATAAATGGTAATAAACAACAAAAAACGGCAATTTTCTATTTATTTGAGAATATAACTTGTTTACATATTTACAAGAAAACATATTTGTGTTTATAAGAAATTTAGTTTCATGCTAGTAATTTGTTTGTAATGTAAATAGACCGTCAGATAGTGGGAGGTTTAGGTGCCCCATTTTCGCATACAAGCCTCGAAGAGGGTTGAAAAGTACATCGATTTTAAGTAGAATGTAAGGAAATTTACAAGTGGCTCCTGGGGATAACACATGGAAAATGAGATTTTCCCCAAAAAAATGAAAGGTTATTTGCTACCCACATTTCCACGCAAGCCGTTTTCACTATATGATTAATAAATAGAACTAGGCTTCGAAAAACCAAAGGCTTTAATGTTGCAAGTGGCTAAAGGGCGTAATCTTCTAAGGAAAAATCGAGATTTTACCCGATTTTTCCACACAAGCCCATCGAATGTATGAAAACGTACATAGTCACTAGCCTGAAAAACATATTTTCTTGAGTGACCTGAATGTATAATTGCATTTTGGGTTCGGAAAATTTTTCTGATAAGTAAAATCGAATTTTCCATGTGTTATCCCCAAGAGCCACTCATAAATTTTCTTTTATTCTACTCTACATCGATGTACTTTTCAACCCTCTTCGAAGCTTGAATGCGAAAATGGGGCACCTAAATCGGTCACTATCTGACGGTCTAAAAGTGATTGATCGACAGTTGAGAGAACGATATATATGTCGACTCCATGGCATCTTTATTGTTGAACGTTTGAAAGTGGAGTGTTTGGCCAAACATGTTAACTACAATAAACTGGAGGGGGTAGAATGATAAGGTACCGTTTGCGCATCCATCACTAGTGTAGAAATTATGCATGCTTTAACCTTCCACTCTTACACATGTAAATGACAAGGATAGGTTGCCCTAAAGCACTGTAAACAAATTCCAGGCTAGGCTTTGTTCAGCGATTATGTTTATGTTCAGCTCTGCTTTTTATTTGTGTTTTGGATGTTATAAGCTTTTTTTGGCAAGTTATGGTTGCAGTACAGCGAACCCAGCGTAACACGATGCCACGAGAATACAAGCTGGCATTCTCACGTCCATTCGACCTTTTCTTTATTTCATGTAAAAAGTTCAGATTTAATTTAAAATTCAATGTAGTAACAAGTAATAAAATTTATATTTTTTGAATTTGTTTTTTAAAAAGTTATTTTGGACTTAATCACATTAATTTGGCATCAATTCTTCATTATCTTTCTTATGTTTGTGATTTTTAGTGCTTTGATTTTGATTTAGAATTAAATTATACTTGTTAATTATTTTCCGATGCACTATTTTATAATTGTTGCACAAAATATTGTTAATCCGTCCCTGAATCTTGTTTACAAAATGTTCAAAACGAAATTTTATTGAAAATTCCACACCTGTAATTTTGAACCAATGTTTTTGACAGATTACCATGGCAACGGAGGTATTTTAGTGGAAATTTTTTTCTCGTGGGGTACCCAACAGCGAATTATACTGGAAATTTTTTGACGTTTACAATAACAGACCATTTTTGACAGACTGGTTTTTATTTGTTCACATAATAGGTTTAGTTTTGATACATTTTAGTTACAATGCTAAGGTGTTTTCTATATTCTTCGGCCACTTCTTTTCTTCTTAATGGCGAAAATGCAGGACTTTGGATGCTTTGAATTATGTGTCTATGTCTATGTCTAATAAAATATATATATATATATATATATATATATATATATATATCATCCTATCGTTTTGGCATCCGTTTATTATTAAATTTCCAACATTGTAGCATCTCTTTGCAAAGTGGCGTCCGTATATGGACGTCACTTTGTTTTCTCCTAATAATTTGGTCCACAGTAGAAATTAACGCACTTTTTGCCTTCCAGTCTAATCCGTGCGATCTGTACATTGACCTATTCTTTTATTATCCATCTTATTCTATTCAGTGCTGAGTTATATTAGATTATTTCAAGGATCACTGGACTTCAAATTGTTAGGAATATGAAAGTGAAATATACAACCTTAGTTCAGCATTTTGCCGTTTTAGCGCTAGTGTCATGTATATCTTATATACACGTTTCTTTCATTTATAATCCTACTGGCATCCGAAATCTGGCAACACTGTTAAAACAGTTTTAATATTTCTTTCCGTCTATGAAATAAACTTAGAGCCAAACGAAGTATTAGCATCATAATAGCTATGTAAACATATTTTTATTATATACGTCTTTTTGACGTCCATATAGAAGTATCGTTATTTGCATCAATTTGGCTTCCAAGATTTTACTGATTAAAAAATTTAAATAAATTAATTTCGACATATCCTGTAACTGACTGTTACAATATTTTTAATTTTTTTTTTATTTTCGTGTTTATTTTGAATGAATGTAATAATTGGTAAAAATTTAAAATGTAAAGCATAATTATAAAAAAATAATTTTATTTAAGGTTTGCATTAATTAAAATGAAACAACTTGAATATATTATTTGAAAACATGTAATTTATTTTGTTAAATTTACTGAATTTCTCCTTAACCCACCCCTACTCACCCCCACTAGGTCAGAATAATTGAAAAATGTTAATTCTTTAATATCTTATGTATAAAACAATAGGTAAAATATTTTCATTTTATTTACTCTTGCAAATCGCTACAGTAATACATGGCTTTATTGACTTTTGGCAATAATATTATAATAAGTATTGTAATTAATGGATTAACAAGTATTATAATAAGTATTATAATAAGGTTTAACCTCGGTTACATATAATATGCAATATTCAACAACTATTTGCCAAAAAATGTCAATTATTAGAGTAACGATTATTTAAATACATTTCCATATAGAGCTTCTTTAGTCCTAAAAATTTTAAGTTGATATCGTTTCTCGTTTTTAATTTTGGGATTTTTTAATTTCAACCTTCCTTATTCCCCTCTTTTTAATCAGATTTTTTAAAAATCAATAGGCTTCGTCCCCTTAGAGAGCTTAATTTTTCTAAAACAAATTAAGTTGGTATCGTTTTTCATTTTTGATTTTTTTTTTTTAATTTCAACTCCCCTTAACCACCCATATTTATTCTGATTTTTCAAAATCAATAGGCTGCGTCCTCTGAAAAAGCTTGATTTTCCTGAAAATTTCAAAAATAAAATTGTTTTTAGTTTTTGATTTGTTTTATTTTTTAAGTTTCAACCCGCCTTAAACCCGCAATTTTTATTCGGGTTTTTTTAAAATCAAAAGGCTTCGTACCCTTATAGAATTTGATTTTTCCTAAAAATTTCAAGTTTCTCATTTTTCAATTTTAATTTACGATTTTTGATTTTAACTACCTTCAACCCCCATTTTTATTTTTAAATGAATAGGCTTCGTCCGCCTATAGATCTTGATTTTTCCGAAAATTTCAAGTTTATATTGTTTTTCGTTTTTGATTTATGATTTTTTTTTTTAAGTTTCAATCCCCCAATTTTAAAACAATGTTTTTCAAAATCAATAGGCTTCGTCCTCTAAAAGAGCTTGATTTTTCTTATAAATTTCAAGTAGCTATTGGTTTTAGTTTTTGATTTTTAATTTTTTTTTTTAAGTTTTCCAATGTTAGCAATTTACTCAAGTGGTCCGTTTTAAAGCCATAAAAGAACAAAAAGCCTTAAAATAATAAATTTTACCTTTAAAAACAAAAGTTTTGTATTATATATAATTATTCTCTATATAGAATCTATAAATTTGATACTTATACTACAACACGTGTTAGAAACTTAAAAATGATTTACACGACAAAACAAATTGGTAAATTAATACATTCATTTATAGCTAGTTAAAGTGTAAAACTTTTGTTAATAAATTTAGAATGATAATAACAACGGTAATGTATTTATTTTGTTTAAAACCGGTACTCATGCTATTTCAAACAAAAATGCCACCTATTTTCCTTGCCTAAGCAAATGAGGTGAAATTTTCTACCATCGACAGTTAAATGCCAGTGAAGAAGGAGGCGAGTCGTAGCAAAAGTATTGTATGTAAATGAGTGCCAGGAGTTTACTCATATCCAACAATTCCAAGTAACGGTTTACTATAAAACTCCAAACAGCTAAACCAAATTCATCTTCATGATGACTCAAGCGGCTATGCTATAAATGATTATCTCTTGCTAATAAATCGTTACCTTACCTACGAGTATAATACCTATTGCCTAACCTAATTAAGTAATATTAACAGACACTTTGGTTGGGGGTAAATAATGAAAAAATTACAATTAAATACCCAAATTTAATAATAATATTTATGCGTTAAGGGTTCACCTCGGTTACACATAATATGCAATATTCAACAACTATTTGCCAAGCAATGTCAATTATTAGAGTAACGATTATTTAAATACATTCCCATATAGAGCTTGTTTAGTCCTAAAAATTTTAAGTTGATATTGTTTTTCGTTTTTAATTTTCGGATTTTTTCAATTTCAACCTCCTTAACCCCCCTCTTTTTATACAGATTTTTTAAAAATCAATAGGCTTCGTCCCCTTATAGAGCTTAATTTTTTCCAAAAAAAAATTAAATTGATATCGTTTTTGATTTTTTTTTTAATTTTATCTTCCCTTAACCACCCATTTTTATTCAGATTTTTTTAAAATCAATAGAATTCGTCCCCCTATAGATCTTGATTTTTAGTGAAAATTTCAAGTTTATATTGTTTTTCGTTTTTCATTTGATTTTAATTTTGTTTTTGTTTTAACTCCCTCTTAAACCCCCATTTTTAATAAATTTTTTCAAAATCAATAAAGCTGATAAAGCTTGATTTTCCTGAAAATTTCAAATTAATATTGATTTTAGTTTTTGATTTGTTTTATTTTTTAAGTTTCAATCCCCCTTAAACCCTCCATTTTTATTCAGATTTTTTTCAAAATCACAAGGCTTCGTCCCCTTATAGAACTTGATTTTTCCTAAAAAGTTTAAGTTGATATCGTTTTTCATTTTTCAATTTTGATTTACGATATTTTTATTTCAACTACCATTAACCCCCATTTTTTATTATAGGCTTCGTCCGCCTATAGATCTTCTTTCAATCCCCCCTTAAACCCCCAATTTTAAAACAATTTTTTTCAAAATGAATAGGCTTCGTCTTCTAAAAGAGCTTGATTTTTCCTAGAAATTTCAAGTGGATATTGATTTTAGTTTTTGATTTATGATTTTTTTTTTTAAGTTTCCCAATTCTTACCAGATTTTTTTCAAAATCTGATTCGGCTTGATTTCTCTTGAAAATTTCAGGTTGATCTACTAACATTCCTACCTCCACTTTGGAGATTCCAAAATGATTGTAAATGTGACGTGTTTCCCAAACATATTATGTGGACGTTAGAATGACCGGTTTAAAAAGAAAACTAGCGAGACGCCGAAATGATTATAAAGGTAAAGTGTTTCTTATATTTGTATATGTGGACGTCAAAATAATCGGTTTTAAAAGGAAATTAGTAAGACGTCATAATGACTGCAAAATTTAAATATATTGTATAAACACTGCATGATGGAGACGCCAAAATGATTATAAGGTGAAGTGTTTCTCATATATGTATATGTGGACGTTAGAATGTTTTAAAAGAAAACTAGCGAGACGCCGAAATGATTGAACATTTTAAATATATTTTATATACACTGCATGATAGAGACGCCAAAATGATTATTAAGGTAAAATGTTTTTCATATACGTTGACGCTAGAATGATCGGTTTTTAAAAATAACTAAGAGGACGCCATAGTGATTAATATATTTAAACATATGTTATATACATTAGGTACAGGACGTTAAAAGGATGATATTATTAAAAGCTTTCAGATATACTAATGATAATATGTAATTATGTTAAACGTTGGGGTTTTAAATAATGGTTGATGCATCGTCTGTGTATATCTACAATATGTGACGTTACAATGATTGGATTTTCTTTTAAGAAACTTGGCAACGTTGCTGGTAGTCGCAATGATTTTACTTTTAATTTTTTTTTGTACGGACGCCAAAATGCGTTTTAGTGTAAAAGTCGCGTATATAGTAAACTTTACGCTACTAAAAATCTAAGATGAGTTTCATGTATTAAAAAATGCGCCGGATTTATATACACGGCTAAATATTTAAAAATAGGTTTCTTTCTAGTGGACGCCAAATTAAGGTGTTATGAAAGGATGCCAAAATGATAGTGGGATGTATATATATATATATATATATATATATATATATATATATATATATATATATATATATATTTACATCTCTGTATCATTGAAGCGTCCCGATAAAGATGCGCTTTAAAGCGCCCATGTCTGTTTACCCTTGATCTACTTATTTTAGACATATATACTCGTTGCTGTTGGAAGAAGCAGCTTAAATTAGGCGGATAACATTAAATTGAAAGGAAAACACAAATAGTTACTTTTACTTTATCGACACCTGGGCGTCATTTCAATTGATACACATTGCAGCGTCACCAATATTCAAATTTACGTATATTTGACCGCTTTTGTGGCGTCAATTAGCGTTTTGCGGTGTTGTCATATATTTAAATGATAGGCAGTTTAAGTTTTTGTTTAACTGTGTTAAAGATATATTTTGATACATAACGATAGACCTGCAGAGCGTTAATTTATCATTTCGGTAGCGCAGAGAGTGCGGCAGAAAGTGAATAATTTAGTTATGCAATATTGATTGTAATTTAATTCTGATTGTTTTTAATTATTATTATTGTTCTTTTCTAAGAATAATATTTCATTAAAAGTTATTGACGTTTCAAAATTTTGCCAGCCTTTTCATGCAGAATTCTGTGGTGTAGAATTGATAAATAAAAATTATGCCTTAGTAACAGTGTACAGATCCTCCTTCCATGGGGACATATCAATATTCAAAACGTATTTTCTAAATTTAATTATTTATATAAAAAATTTAAAAACCTAATTTTTATCGGTGATTTTAATGTTGATTCTAATAGTTTAAATTAGCATTCGCTTGATTTAATTATTATATTAAATATGTATGGTATGAAACATTACATCACAGTTCCAACTAGAATAACTCCCACTTCTAAATCATGTTTGGACAATATTATTTTCAATATAAATCCGGAAGTTATAATATCAAAAGTCATTGATGCCGACATAGCCGACCATTTGACTTTATTTTTGGAGATAAAAGACTTTAATATTTTAAGTGATACCAGTTATGTCAACAAAAGATTTATTAATGAACGTACAATTTTACAGTTCGCAGAAAAGTTATCTGAAATTAGTTGGCATGGACTAGAAATGGGAAATTACTGCTCCCAGGAGATTTGTAATATAATATTTACTATTCTATGTCCTATTGTAGATCTATGCTTTTCCATAAAAAAAATTCGCAGTGGTGACAAAAAGATTTTGTGGTTTAATGAGGAACTGCGGGTACAGCGAAATCAAGTATTTCAAAACAAATCTAGATTCAAAAAAACCAATTCGTTAGAAGATTGAAGACTATATTCTGAATCGCGCAAAAACTATAGGAGGTCAATTAGATTAGAGAAACGTAACGCTTACAATAAAAGAATAGCTGCATCAGAAAATAAAAATAAAGCAATCTGGAATATTGTAAACGCAGAACGAAAATCCAACAACAAATCATCCAGTACATCGAATCTAACATCTGAAGACTTCAATGTAGCAGAGAAGGTTATTCAAACAATCGAAAACGATAATAATATTTCCTCTAATGATTTTATTAAAATGACACCGAAGCCCCCGTATTCGTTTTTTATGGGTCCAGTCTCTGAATCTGACGTAAGAGAGGCTATACTTCATATTAAAAATACGCCATGCACGGATTACTATGGCCTCAGTAGTCCCATGATTTAGGCCTCTATAGAATCCCTCATTAAACCACTTAATATTTTATATAACCAATGCATAATCGAAGGAAATTGGCCTAACCAACTTAAAATTAGTAAGGTATTACCACTTTTTAAAAAAGGTGATTCTAATGATGCTGATAATTATAGGCCAATTGCCATTACACCTGTTATCGGTAAGATATTTGAAGTAAAGCTAAAAGAGAAATTAGTTAACTATTTTGAAAATAAAAATTTATTCTCGCCAGCCCAATTTGGGTTTAGAAGGCATAGATCTACAATAGGAGCAGTCGCAAAAGTAATTGATTACATAGTCGGTGGCTTTGACGAGGGCTCGAGTACTACTGCGGTATTATGTGACCTAACTAAGGCCTTCGACTGTGTAAGCATTGATATTATTTTGAAAAAAAATGGAGTACTATGGCATAAGGGGAAAGGAACTTGCCTTATTTTTTTCATATCTGACGAACAGATTACAGTGCGTGTTTCTCGATAATGTGGAGTCACAATTGGCTCCCATTTTAAGAGGGGTTCCACAGGGATTTGTATTGGGCCCTGTTCTATTTCTAATATATATTAATGACTTACCGCGTATCATGAAACACTGTACTAGTGTTATGTTCGCAGATGATACGACTATCCTATCCAAAGATGACACGATCTCGAGCAGAACTTGTTTACCGTCCTCTAATGAATGGTTTGCTGCAAACGATTTAAAGTTAAATAATGTCAAAACTCAAAACGTTACTTTTTCATTTAGTAAAGTCAAAGTAGCTGGGTCAGTAAACCTGCTAGGAGTAATGCTCGATGCCGGTTTAAATTGGTCGCACCATGTAGACAATGTCTGTTCGAAATTGGCGTCCCAAATTTTTGCACTCAGGCAAATATCGAGTTTTTCAGAAAAATCAGTACTAAGAACAGTCTATTATGCAATCATACATAGCCATCTGAATTATGGTGTCATGTTCTGGGGCGGCAGTTATCACTCTCAGAAGGCTTTTATTCTCCAAAAAGCTGCCTTGAGGATCATTGACGGTGCAGAACTCGACATGCTATTTAAAAGGTACGTGATTCTTCCATTGCCTTGTCTGTATGTACTGGAATCATTAAAAGAAATTTTTAAAAAACGTAATTCATTGGATTCGAATAATAATTATCATAGCTACAATACAAGGAATGCAGAAAGTCTAGTTCCTTTTAAATCAAGAATTTGCCTGATGCATAATAATAAGTTAGATTTGGCCCTTTATAATCAATTCGTTAAATGTCATAGGGATATCAATACCATTCAGTGGTAGAGTCCCTGCCTGTGGACATAATGGTTCCAGGTTCGAATTCCACCGTTGGCCGGGATTTTTTTATTTAATTAATTTATTTAAAATTAATTCTGATGCCTTGGTAGGATTTCCTACTCGACCACTCATTGTCGGGTTCTAATTAACAGTGCTGTTCCTAAAGTGGCGCTGGGAAACAATAACAAAGCCTGCACAGAAACGAGGCGATATAACCATTAGTAGTTGAAGCCGATGACATCATATAATAATAATAATTTGATTTTTTCCTAATCAATCCCCCTTACTCCTCCTATTTGCAATCAGATTTCTTTTAAATCAATAATCTTTGTCCCCTTACATAGCAATTTCATGATGATATCATGTTTCGTTTTTGACTTATGATTTTTTTTAACTTCCCTTCAATCCCCCATTTTTTATTAGATTTTTTTATAATCGATAGGCTTTATAAATCTTGATTTTTATTAAAAATGTTAAGTTGATATTTTTTTTCTTTTTTATTTTTTTAAGTTTCCCCCCTGAACCTCCCATTTTAAATCGGATTTTTTTTAATCAATGGTCTTTGTCACCTTATAGAGCTTGATTTTCCTAAAAATTTCATTTCGATATCATGTTTCGTTTTTGATTTATGATTTTTTTAACCCCCCTTAAATCCCACACTTTTTTCAATAGGCTTTGTCCACTTATAGAGTTTCATTTTTTTTAAAACGTTCAAGTTAATATTGTTTTTCAATTTTGATATGATTTATTTTTAGGTTTCAACCCCTCCCCCTTCCTTAATTCACACATTTTTAATTGTATTTTTTTTAATTAATAGTCTTTGTCCCCTTATAGAGCTTGATTTTTCTGAAAATTTCATGTTGATATCATGCTTCGTTTTTGATTTATGATTTTCAAGTTTCAACCCCTCATAAACCACCCATTTTTTATCAAAATTTATTTCTTAATCATTAGACATCGCCAACTTATAAACTTTGATTTTTCTTAAAAATTTCAAGTTGTTATTGTTTTTCAATTTTGATTTATGATTTTTTTTTAAATTTCACCCCCCTTCCCCTTAAATCCCTAATTTTTATTCGTTTTTTTTTAATCAATAGCCTTTGTCTTCTTATAGAGCTTGATTTTTCTTAAAAACTTCATGTTGTTATCATGTTTCTGTTTTAACTTATGATTTTTTATATTTTAACCCCCCTTAAACCCTCATTGTTTTTTAGATTTCTTCATAATCAACAGACTTTGTTTACTTATAGAGTTTGATTTTTCTTAAAAATATCAAGTTGTTTTTCGTTTCTGATTTATGATTTTTTTTTAACACTTTTAACCAGATTGTTTCAAAATCAATATGCTTCGTCCCCTTATAGAGCTTGATTTTTTCTTAAAATTGATTTTTCCTAAAAATTTCAAGTTGATATTGTTTTTCGATTTTGATTTATAATGTTTTTTTAAGTTTCCACCCCCACCCTTATATCCCCTATTTTTAATCAGATTTTTTTTCATAATCAATATTCGGTGTCCCCTCATAGAGCTTGATTTATAGACTTTGATTTTTCCTAAAAAAGTTGATATTGTTTTTCAATTTTGATTTATATTTTTTTCAAATGCACCCCCCCTCCCTTTAAAGTTCCAATTTTTATTCGTTTTATTTTAATTAATAGCCTTTGTCTTCTTATAGAGCTTGATTTTTCTAAAAAACTTCATGTTGATATGTTTCGGTTTTGACTTATGATTTTTTAAAGTTTTAACTCCCCTTAAACCCCCCATTGTTTATTAGATTTTTTTCATAATCAACACATTTTGTCCACTTATAGAGTTTGATTTTTCTTAAAAATTTCAAGTTGATATTGTTTCTCTTTTTTTATTTACGATTTTTTGAATTTTCAATCCCCTTCTAACGCTCACAAAAAATGACGGACGGACGGACGGCTTCTTTAGAGAAATTTTATAATACACTAAGATTTCTACCAGGCCAACTAAGATTATTAAATCAACTTTAATTTATTTTACAACATTAGCTTCCAAAGCAACGATGCCAAGTCAGTGGACGCTCTAGAATCGAATGGGTATCAAGGAAATCGTATACTTTCTATATACATCAGCGCTGCATGTGCCTCTGGTAGCAATAGTATTGAACTAAAGTATACGCGAGCCGTATTATTTTCATGCATTTTTTCATCATTTTGGCGTCTCTCAAAAATTTTGCCATCACGTTTCTTACGTCATTATAGACCTCTGGAAAAATTTTTAATGGGCACCGTCTTAGAGCGTCTATATACGGACGCTCTAAATACCTGGACGCTCCAATGAATGCGATTTAAGAATGTACGGACGCTCTATCTATAGTAAGATATATATATATATATATATATATATATATATATATATATATATATATATATATATATATATATATATATATAATATTTAGACACTAATTTATTCACCTTTTTCCCATTCAGCACTTTGAATTTTGCGTAGTTTAGGTGCAAATATTCGTGGACAATTCGGAACAAATTTTCGTTTTTCAAGTTGTAGCCACAATCCTCTATTAATCCGAGTAAGTAAGTCATGGTGCAATGATTGATCATTACATCAGACAATTTCACGCATATTTTGCATAGCGTATGATTTTCAAATCGATTCATTTTTAAACAAATAGGTAATTTTGTTGGTTTTACTTGCTGTGCAATATTCTTTATCGCAACAAATCGCGAGTTATTTAATGTTTTGAACTGTCAAAATACAATGATCACAGCCTCCTACGATTGATGCTTGCTGACGCTGGTTATGAATTTCATACCATTTTAAAGCGCTCATAACGCATGTTAATAAAAACGCAGAAAAACAATTTTCTACCACTTGTAGTTATTCAAAACTTACGTAAAATTAAAGAATATACTATTTTCTATTTTCAAATGGTATTCCCATGCAACTACAATGAGTAGAAATAAGCAATTTGAAGGCCTAAATAATTGCAGTGAAACATTTTTTTACGTCGGGCCGCTTGACAACTTCAAAACTGAAATTATATTCGAGGTTAGGGTCTCACTTAGTTACCATGACAACTCAACAATCAAGGCGACAACATCTTTTATGTTTCACTGGTGACTTGGAGAAAATAATTTGCATTGTTGAGAAACGAAAAATAAATTTTAAAAATATTTAATTTTCAACCATAATTCGGCGTGGAATTTTCTTACCGAATACCACGCGAGGTCAAATTAATATCAGGAAATTGTTTGACCTCTAGTGGTATTACTAGTGAAAATTATCATTCTACCCCTCTCAACTATCAAAAGTTCGGAAACAAAGTGCTTATAACGAGAAGTAGACATTGCGTTCGGTCTGCCACGTTCTTTTAACTCCATTAACACTTTTTACTCCAAACGACCCTTTTAGCGTTCGGTTAGTTCAAATAGTGACAGTTTAACACGCTTAAATGTCATTTAAAAGCACCCTAAAAAACTCCGATTTTGTCCCGCTCCAGCCCCTGACTATCCGAACTCGCCTAGAATGCCGACTCAGGGACATCTTTTCTGTTGGACGATTGAAACTTGAGTGACGTGAAGAGCCGATTTGCTCTTAGAGTTTTCTAGAATTGGTTGTTAGTTTTATTAAGTGGGAATGTTTACTACTGAGAGATAGAATATATAACTGAATGTTTAGTTTTGGGCCATACTGGTGCCTACGTGATATTTCACACGCTTTAAAATAAAAGTGTTTTCCTCGGAAAATATTATAAAAGTATAAAAGTATAAAGAAAAAAAAATATAATAAATTATTAGCGAAAATGTGACGCCTTCGGATGAAAATAAAAAAAATTTCATTTGACAAGAAATAACACATTTAATTATTATTGTACTTACTTCAGTTCCATATAGAGCATACAGTAGATCAAAAGGAAGTGCAGCCAATAAATCCACTACAAACCACGTTCTTAAATAATTGACAGCTATTATTTTCCATGCTGAAACAACTTCTCCTTTTCTATTTACAAAAGTTGTACGAAAATTTAGTAAAATATCTGAAAAAAAGTAGGTATATTTTATTTGCAGAAGTATGTAAGAGAGAGTGGGAGAATCGTGCGCGTCGGGTAATCGTGCGCATCAAACTATTTCATATTTCGCGAGCTTTTAAGCGCCACCGACTAGTGCTGCGCTCTCTCCTTTCTACTGTGCATCACTGACGCCATTACTCACATCAGTTGTTTACGTTCGCACGGAACGAGCCCTGGGGGCCTATTCTCCAGTTGAGAGAATGATCATTTCATGTGAACTGGACAGCCGTTCTCTTAAAAAGTGTGTGAGTGGTATTCTTGAATTGAAGTGAATGATCACTTTGCATGAAAATCGAGAGAACATACTTCTCTTAGTCAAAACCAGTAGAAGAGCATCATTTCGGGAGAACATTGGGAGAACTGTCATTGTTGTGCACTATCAAAACGTCACTTTATTTAAATAAAATGGATTTGGACGAAGCTCTTATTTATATTCATATTTTGAATGATCTAGCTGAAACGAAAGAAGATGCCAATCGACCAAATAGAATTTTTTTTAAGAAAAAAAGATCGTTTTGACTTTAGTGACCGAATATTCATACAAAATGTTCGTCTAAGTAAATCTTTGGCACGGGATTTAATAGATAATAATGGAAAATATAATCTGTTATTATATTTGTCAAAAAATAATAAAAAAATTGAAGTAAAGTGTATTCTAAAATAGTTCTAACGCATAACTTAAATTTGGCAGCGGTGCTCCGTGAACCTATGAGATGTGAATGGTTCAAGAATGCCGAATAAGATGACCGAGAGAACAAATTGGTGATAGGACACTTGACATCCCACAGTGGAATGTTTACATCGTTCAACTTGGAAATTATTATTATTTAAAATTCAGCCAGTTTCTGTAATTTTTTGACATCGGTAAATAAGACGGTGAGTCCACTTTTTTTCCTTAATCGATAAGATATATTTTATTTTATGGAAAAATATGATCTTTTGCATCTATTGATGCTTGTTCTACATTGTTAGGTTATGTAGTTTGCTAACTGTATTATACATTGTCATTTAATGTCTAACGGGGTAATGATGCGCGCTGATGCGCACCATTACCCCACACATAATCTAATTTTAAATATAATTTTTTTCAGATGTTGAGAAATTATACAAGGAAAACCACAATTCTTTCATGTAAGGAAGAAGATTTACAAAACGCATTATTTGCGATAAGAAAAGATAACAGAAAAATAAGGAATGCAGGAAGGGTCTTCAATATTCCTGAATCGACACTCGAAACTGTCAGAAAATGAGCCGAAGCCTCCTCGTTTGGGTTGCAAGCCTGTGTTTTCAGAGGAAATAGAATCTGAGTTAAGAGAGTACGTTTTAATGCTAGCAAAGCTATTTTATGGCCTAACACTCAGATCTCTTAGGCGACTAGCTTTTAGATAAGCTGCGCAATATGACATTGCCCATTAATTCGACAAGGAAAAGGGATTAGCTAGGAAGGACTGGCTGAATGGATTTTTAAGGAGATTACCTGATATAAAGCTACGGCAGCCTGAAGGAACCAGTTTGAATAGGACTCAACCAAATTATTTTTTTCAAACCTTCAAACTATCATGGAAAGGTTTAAGTTTGAACCCATGAGTGTTTACAACATGGATGAGACAAGCATCAGCACGGTGCAGAACAAATGCCCTAAAGTTTATGGTCACAAGGGATCTAAAAAAGTAGGAGCTGCAATTTCTGGCGAAAGAGGAAGAACAATAACAGCTGTATTTTGTATGAATGCGGCTGGGAACTACATCCCTCACATGATAATATATCCTAGGAAAAGGATGCGTAAAACTCTCGAGAAAACTAGACCAATTGTGGCGTTGTAGAAATGTTCTAAGAACAGTTCGATCAATTCCGGACTTTTTCTTCAGTGGCCAGGTCACTTTTAGAGGCATGCTAAGCCTACTGTTACTGATCCTGTCCTTCTGGTCCTGGATAACCATTCCAGTCACATTTCAATTGCAGCTTATAATTTCTTCCACATGGTATCGCTTCCTTCACACACATCTGATCACCTTCAGCTCTGGATCTGACATTTTTTAGCCCTCTAAAAAATGCACTATTTAGGAAATATGATCTTTACTTGTCAAGTACCGGTCATCAAAAAATAACTGAATACCACGTAGCCGAACTTTTAAACAAAGCCTTCATGAAAGTGGCTACAATGGAAAAAGCAGTTTCAGGGTTTCGGACTTCGGAATATCTCCATTAGATCCCGACAAATTTACCGATGCTGATTTTGAACCTAGCCACCATGTAGAAAAACTTACAGTAAAAGCAACACCTGAACTTGAAACTTCATCCAGTCAAGATGGTGCAGCAACTCTTCCAGATAATCACCCAGAGAGATTCAAGCCCTCAGCCATCTACGTCTTATGATAATTCTTTCTTTGCTATGACTCCGATATCAAAAACAAAAGTTAACCAGGCAACGAAATAAAAATCTAGGAACAAACAGAATTTGGAAATTTTTACGAGCATTTCCATCAAAACAAAAGTAGAAGAAGCTGAAGAGAAAAAAATACATCGAGGAAAGCAATCAAAAACAAAAAAAACTGAAAGATAAGAATAGTAAAGGAGTTATTCGTGAATGTTTGGCGGTGAATTAACAATTGCGTCGTCTTCAAAGAAATTCAAAAGCAAACAAAAGAGACCGCCAACGCCAGAATCATCTGATTCTTTAGAAGATGATGTGTCGGATATTTGTAACGACGATAAGCTGGATGATATTGGAGATGATGTTGGACTGAGCTTCGTACCACCACCTTTGAATCAGCCAGGGAAACTAACCGAAGTTTGTGGTATTTGCGGTCAATTTAGCAAACAACGAGAATAATGGTACAGATGTGTCCTTTGCTCAATTTGGAATCATGCCGAATGTACTGGCTCAGATACCCCGGAAAATTATAAATGTGACCTATGCTCAAATTAGGAGTTAGTCTAATGTTTTTTTTATGTTCCACAACTTCAATAAATGTTTTTAAAGCTAGTGTTGTTTTTTTCTTATACATAATACTTTAATGGGCACGATTCCCAACACTTGCGCATCATTGCCCGCAACGGTGGGGAATGGTGCGCAAGAGTACTTTTGTATTTTCAGCAGTATTGTACTTTGTTGTGTATTTTGTTTTTTCCTAAAATTAATTTACGTGCTGAGAGTAGACCAAATAGCACCCCCATTACGGTATTTATATTAAAATTGTCTACAATGCTATCAGTGCTATAACGCTTTTCGCTTAAGTGCGCACAATTACCCCACTCTCCCCTTTATAGAAAATAAAATAGTAACTATAAATATGTATGTATTATATTGGAATATTTTTTGAGCGGAATAAGAAGTATAGCAAAGATGGTCTAAAGCAGAATGGAAACTCTTTCAACCAGTCCTAAAGCAGGATGTCGTTAAGTAGATAAAACACGCCGCAATCTGAACGCCGGATATTGCTACAAAAATTTTACAGAATGCTTCTAGACCCTTTGAAACAAGCTATACATAACAATTTTGGGTCCGTTTATACATATTTTTTTAACCTTAACCCTTCGTTAGTCGCGTATAGTGTTATTTTTTAAACTATTATTGTTACGACATTGTAATTTAAGACATCTCAGAGACATCTTCAAAGAATAGTTTATTTAAATTATATGGACAGCACTATTTTTAATTAAAAAATATTGAGAAATTTGAAACGTTAAGGTATAAGTAAAAAGTTATATACAAAGTGTACAAAAAGTAACGTAACATACTAATATTTAGATGCCTGATAAAAAAAGTTATAAATAAAATTTTATGAAATAAATTAGTTAATATGCTGGGTTCTCAGGGCTTAGGGTTCTGGGTTCTGAGAGCGTCGGTAGGTGGTGGATGGCCAAACGGCCTGCAGCGATATTTCATCCTGCAGGTTACCACCGAATACCCAATAAGGTGACGCTGACCAACCTTCCAATCCAAAGGAGTCACGCGATCCGTGCTGAAAGGATGCATAGTGACGGGGACGCTCCACTGCGAACGGAGCCTTCGGGAAACCAGGCGACCTCAAGGCAGTAACTAGCCTTGCTGTGGCATGCGGGGTTCTACCGTGGTTGACCACCTTTTCTTTAGCTACTCGGGAGATCTGTATGGAAGACAGGCAAAAAAACCAACAACGACGGGGACAATCCCCTCGGTCACCAGGAATCTGGCTAAGAACCGATAGAGGTTTCTTCAACCCAATCAAACAACGTCGTTCCGGAGGAAATGGAGGATGCTTTACTTACATCACCCAACGCCTTTCGAGTCCAACTAAACAAACTAGACAACCGGTGAGGAAATAAATCCCACCAAAGTAGTCTAGAACCAAACATCAACGCTCCGACGACAGCACTTCTAAAACGAAACTTAAAAAACTCCGTAGGGATGCTGAAGTCGAGCCGAAACGCTTATTCATGGCCGCGGCGGAGAGTGTTCGAGTGGGGATTATTCATATAGAACACCCTAACGTACTGTAGAAAGGCAACCTGTGGACACACCTCAAATCTGTTTCCAGGGCTGCACCCTCAAACCGGGTCATCTTTTTCTGGACTGTGCCGACGCTACAACGGCTCGGTGGCTAGAAGGAGCCATGGACAAACTTCGCCCATAGAATGACGCACGTCTAAAGTTGGTGCAAGGTAAGGAAATACCCAAGCCGTTCATCTGCGTGGTGTACATCCCTGATGATGCAGGATCCACCGGATTAATATGGGAGCAGGTAAGAAAGCGCCTCAGGATAATGAACCATGGCCTGCGAACCCAGGAGTGGGGGCTGCCTACACCGGGTAGCCTTAGTCCAGTCGGGTCACACCTGGATGCTTTCCATTGACGATGTCTCAGTGAGAGAGTTGAAACGGATGAACTTCCGGCCCTATTTCGGCTTCGGACTGATGCAATTCGTCTCCGGGACCGCAGAAGCACCGTAGTCCCAACAACAGACTCTCAACATATACCGTCTGTTTTGGGAACCTCAAGTAGGATCACCAAGGATGCAGGACATGACAAGATCACTTCTGCAGTCGAAGTGGCTAATAAGAGGATCCCGGAACCGCAAAACCTCTTTGGAGACCCGCCTCCTCAAAGGACAAGGGGAAAAGATCCCTGTCCAAGAGAACAGTGCGAAAAGGCTCTAAAACCAAAGAAAATGAAAACACGGAGAATATGACTGAGAAAAAAGATCTTCCTCTACCTCCACCACCACCACCACCACCACCACCACCACCACTCCCTCCCCTAATTTCTCCCTCTCACTAACAACAGGCAAGCCAATGCTCTTTCTTCAGGCTAATATCCACCACGCCCAAGCAGTTTCATACGTCCTTGGTAGGAGGTTTGCCAAGGAGAAACTAGACATCGATTTTATCCAGGAATCCTGGATTTCCAGCAACGGCCGGATAAGCGACCTTGGAAACTATTCGGGTAAGTTGGTAGCCGGTTTATATAACAGGTTACTGCACTACCGATATGGTTGCAACCCAGGTCTCGATCCAGATGGGGAACAACGGCAAGGATGTAGTAGTCTGGTCTGCTTATTTCCCGGGAGACTCAGGTCAAGACCAGCCTCCTTCTTCAGCGATAGTGCGAGAACTAGTTGCCTATTGCAAGCGGAACAACAAGCAGCTCGTGATTGGGTGCGCACTACAGGGAGTGGGAAAGTACTGATATCAATGTACGAGGTAAGCAACTTTACAATTATATAATCGGTGAAGGGCTTATTGTTAATAACGTAGGTTTGAAACCAACTTTCGTGACAAAAAATCGTGCAGAAGTTCTAGCTAGACATAACAATCAGTACATCGTTTGTGAGTTCCAATATTAATTATTAACTGGAGGGTATCCACCGAACCCTCATGCTCTAATCATAGACATCAGCTTTGACATGAGGACGAATCGGATACCTACTCTCCAATTCCGTGACCCTAAAAGCATAAAGTGGAGTGGGTACGAAAAGTACCTCCAGGAGGGGCTAGGAAAAGTAATTAAAACTATTAAGAATAGCGCAGAGATTGAAGTGGCGAATGATCAAATTTAAAATGCCCTTATTACTGCCTATCAGGACAACTGCCTACTGAAGGAGAGCAGAGACCTGAGGGGTACTCCATGGTGGAGCAAAAGCCTCGACCAAAAAAGAAAAGAAGTTCGATACCTCTTCAATCGAGCTAAAGAATTTGGCTGCTAGGAAAAGGCCGAACGAGAATCGTGGAGGAAGTTATGTCAGAGTAAATTAGATTTACTTGCAAGTACCAGACTTCACAAGATTCTCGCTAAAGATCAGAGACAAGAAGTCGTCTCGATAAAAAGACCCGACAACAACTATACGAACTCTGGCAGGGAAACATTAGAGATTCTTCTACAGAAACACTTCCCAGACAGTCGAATCCTGGAGGACAGGCAACATGTACCTCTTTCTTTGAAAGAATCGATTATACGACCCAAAAGAAAGACTGGAAGTTTGTTGCACAAATTGTCTCTCCAAATGCCGTGAAATGGGCGATGAATTAAATCACCCGGAGAGGATGGCATTTTGCCTTCCCTTTTGCAAAGAGGAAAGGAACTCCTGGTGCCACTCCTTGTGAGGCTGTTAAGAGAAAGCCTGGCGTGGATCTATATCCCCCTAGAAAGTCGTGTATAAAAACAAGGCTGGTAGAGTAGAAACCTCCCTACCAAACTCATATCGTCCAATCTGCCTAACATCCCGTCTTCTAAAAACACTAGAGAGGATTCTAGATAGGCATATTAGAGAAGAAGGCCTTCGGGCAAGCCCGTTTAACTCCTCCCAATATGCCTACCAAGCAGGAAAATCGACAGATTATGCCCTACACAATCTAGTAGGCAAAATCGACCATTCCCTAAATATAAATTGCACGTTTAACAACGTCCTTCCTCAATCTTTGTTCGCTTCTATTGAAAGAAGAGGAATCGATAAACTAACTTGTAATTGGATCAAAAGCATGCTGGCAAACCGGAATATCACTTCATCACTGCGGAGAGACTGTCACTTTTAGGCCTGCCAGAGGATGTCCACAAGGACTTTCATCCCTACTGTGGACCATTCTGGTGGATAACCTACTATATGATCATTCCCGGAAGGGGGTTGTATTTCCAATACTACGTGGACGATCTGGTTATCATAATTAGGGGAAAGTTTGAAGAGGTGATCTCCAACATTCTTCAACAAGCTCTTAATACGATCAACAGATGGTGCGAGAGGGAGCAGATGTCTGTTAACCCCGAAAAACTGTAATCGTCCCCTTTACCAAGAGAAAAAAGCTCGACAAGCTTCGACAACCCACCTTGGCTGGGAAAACCATTCCTTTTGCGGAGGAGATGAAATATCTGGGGATCACCCTAGATAAGAAACTCACCTGGAATCCCCAATTGGATAAAACCATTAACAAAGCCAGATTATCCCTCTGGACCCTTAGAAGAATATGCGGCAAAGCATGGGGGATCAGTCCTCAATTAATCTACTGAATATACCAAATAATGGTAAAACCCATAGTTACGTACGGCTCTGTCGTCTGGTGAAACAAGGGACTTCAACGGACGGCCAGAGCAAAGCTGGCTGGAATACAGCGGCTTGCATGCCTAGCCATAACTAAAACAATGTCAACCACACCGACGGAAGCTCTGAATATCATGCTGGACCTAACCCCTCTCCATATTCTGCTGAAGGAGGAGGCCAGGATGGTTTTCTATAGACTCCTAAAGGTGGGTAGTCAATGCTACGAAAAATTGAAATGGGACAAGACGGGGTGATTAGTGAGATTAATAACCACCTCATTCTCGACATGGTCCCGGACTCGCTACTTCCCCGACAGCACATAGAAAAGCCATACAGCGTCATTATTCCAGAAAGAGACGCTTGGAGCATAGGGGAAAAATCCTCTCCCAGACAGACTATGCGTTGTACATGGACAGCTCCAAAACTTAAAAAGGAGTAGGATTGGGAGGTTTCGGCCAGAGGCCTAGAGTTGACATATCAATAAACCTAGGCTCTCTGGTCACGATTTTCCAAGCAGAAATTACTGCTATAGAATTGGGAGCGGGAGTTGAATAATTTTCTCCCCGCAAACAAGACTATAAAGATCTTTTTAAAAAGCCGGACAGCCCTTAAGGCCCTGAGCTCCAATCGAGTTGACACAAAGCTGGTTTGGAACTGTATAAATACCCTTGAATGTCTAGGTGTCCGGAACAAAGTTGCTTAAGAGACACAGTGGTGTGGAGGGCAACGTAAAAGCCGACGCGCTTGCTAAAAGAGAAACCGAATCTGTGTTTATAAGACCAGAACCATTCCTGAGCATTGTAAAGAGCACTTCCAAAGGAATTATCTCAAAATAGACAGAAAGTGCAACACTCACAAACTGGAGAGACACCCCAGGGCTAACTCATTCGAAGGCGTTTATAACCAATGCTTCTATGAACGCCTCTGCTCAGATCCGAGAATGGAGTAAGAACAATCAACGCATTTTCACTTCAGAGCACACTCTATGTACCTACGCCGCTCTGGAAAGAACCAGGTTTTAGATCTTCGGATTTACCCGACTGGAGCCTACCGACTTTAAACAAGTCTCACCCAATTCAACCATAGCCTTCATCAAAAGGTGTGGCTTGTACGGTAAACTATAAGTAAGTCATGAGCCACAATAGACCCATCTGGGTTGCAGTGGAAGGCGATGAGATTATCACACTCATTTTCAACCTAACCTAATATGCTGGGTTGACCATTACTCGAAAATTACGCAATTTATTTTTTAAACTGAAATGTGTTAACTTTATTATTGTAACATAGTGTATTCTTGGTTGCCTATTAGTTGGCATCCTATATTCTGATTTATGCAAGTTCCTCTTTTACAGTCTGATGTTATATCTTTATTTAAGTTCGTGTTCTATGTTCACCTGTCTACATTAGACACTTGACAGATGGTTGTCAGATCGTCATCAATCATCCATGCTTGAATCTTGTTATCTTGTAACATGGTTAGATAAATTAAGATTAAACATATTTATATTTAATCTTGTTGTATTAATAAAATAACATAACATAAGAATAATACAATTATCTCGAATACATCCTTGCGTTATTTTGGAATAATGGTCCTCCTGGTATATTTCTAACTGACATATTGATCATTTGATTTATTTTATAAATTTTTTGTAGTTACTCACCTATAAAAAATAGAGCTTCGACAAAGACGTCCAACACAACCGAAGGTCGTTCTGTTTCGAAACTGGCATTATAGGGAACGACAACAGCTACATAAAACGTAGCTATTAAGATTAACCAATCCCAGGCACTTTTGAATATACCATAGTGAGATATAATGAAACGGCTTTTCTTCACAGATGCGGTTTTGTATTCCGGCAGAGGATCCTCATTCGAACTCAGCAGATTCTAAGAAAAACACATTTTTTAAAAACAAATTAAAGAATGATAAATTTGTAAATATTAAGCTTTTAAATTCATAAAAAAAGACTAGTACTAAGTATGGCATTTAATTGAAGATACAAGTGGATGAATGTCTGAATGTCTTCAGCTGTATAAAATAGTAAATGCTTCAGAGTATTATTCGAGAATAACCAAACGTCGAGAAGCGACAAAGACCCTTTCCCGCCGGGTCGGTTTTCGACGGTGCATGATCGAAAATATGGTGTCTATTTACAGGTGGCCAGCTAGATTAGCGTGACACCGTATACGAAGGTGTTCTTTCAGTTATTACTGTGTGATTTACTCCCTTACTAAAAACATATTTAGAGTTGAGGAGTGCAAATTTCAAATTTCCGCGCGAACGCGCGACTGCGAGCCAATTCAGCTTGCGTGCGGTGTAATTATGGTGTCTTCAAGGTCACTGCAAACCGACCCCACAAACATCAAACGTTCCGACAAAGCTGTCGCTTCTCGGCGTTTAGTTATTCTCGGGTATTATTACCAAAAGAATCCATATCTTCTAGCGAGAACGTTTAGTAATAATAATAATAATAATAATAATAAACTTTATTTGCAACTTCCAGTTTTTTATACATATAAAAATATTCAGAAAAAAAAGTGCCAAAGAAGGCTGCAAAAAGGACTGGTGAACAGTGGATACTGATCAAAGCACCAGCCCTGAGTATTACCAACGCCACAGGACATCGTACAAAAAACAATATAAATATAAACACAAATGATAGTGAGAAAAAAAAGTATAAACATTCTAAAAAGTAGCTATCACTCTGCTGTGTCAAGAAGAAACTTTTTGTAAAATTTTTTAAATTTACTTACAGACATTTCTTTAAAATGTTGTGGGATAACCTTGTACATTGCATAAATATTATAAGTGAAAGACCGTCTGAAAATAGCAGTATTATGTATTGGAGGTGAGATACGACCACAAAAACGTAGATTGAGGTTATGAACATCAGAACGATACATTATTTTATTAAAAAGATATGGAGGGGATTTATGTAAAATAACAGAATGAAACAAATTAGCCGAGTGTAAGTTTCGTCTGGATTGCATATCTAGCCAGTTTGAATCCTTGAGTTTATGAGAGACTCTATCAAATTTCCGTATTCCATAAGAAAATCTTAAACAAGATTTCTGTACTCTCTGAATTCTAATTATGTCTGCGTTATCTAAACAGGGCCCATAAACTGAATCACAAAAGTTAAAATTACTCAGAACCAGGGAATCTGTTAATAACAATTTTGTTGTAGTTGGAAGAACATGTCGATGTGGGTAAAGCATTTTTAAATTCATGTATGCTGTTTGGATGCACTTGTTAGCGTGAAGTTTAAACCTCAAGTCATTATCAATTACTAAACCTAAAGTACGCAAGAAAACATTATTAAAATCTTTCATATGACCTATCATGACAAACAATTATTTTTTCTCTAAGATTACTGTTATAAAGAGTTATCATATCAATAAAAAGAAAAGATACAATTTTATTGACGCTGGAAAAAATATAATAATGACACGGACTATTTGACATTCAAAATGTTACGTGGTAGATCAAAATTTTTGATAAACAAGGATTACAAAGAATATTTAAATCAGGTTTAATATTACTGAAAATCCTAAGTATTTTTTTCAATATGTTAAAAACAAAAAAAATCCCCTTTCATTTTACCCGATAATCTCGTACTTGATACAGATCTAATTACAGATCCACAGGAAATCTGTAACGCCTTTTCTGATTTCTTTTCGTCTGTTTTTGTGCCAAGTGGTCCTAGTGACTTTTCTGGTATTTTCAACAGCTCTTCTATGAATATTACCTAATATAAAATATCTGATGAAATGATTTCATTAAAAATAGATAATTTGCCTGATAAAGATCCTGGTCCAGACGAGATTCCTACATGCTTTATTAAAAAGTAAAAATTCTCTCATTGACCCTTTATATTTCTTATTTAATAAACCTTTAACCGAAGGACAGTTTCCTGATAAATGGAAAACGGCTTTCGTTGTGCCAATCCACAAATCAGGAAATAAAAAGAAGGTGAATAATTTTAGACCTATATCAAAACTTAACTTATTAAGTAAACTATTTAAAAGTTTAATTTTCTATTTTGTGATGTCAAGAATATTCTTAATATTGAACATGGTTTTATTAAAAAACGATCGGTTTAAACTAATTTATTTGTTTATGTTGAATACATTTTAAAAAGATTAAATGACGGAATGTTGGTACCTATCCTAATAACGAGGCTCGCTGAGGTCGACATACACGGAAATCTGCTAAGATAGTTTAACTCTTATGTAAGAAATAGGTCTCAACAGGTAGCATTGGGTAAATAGAAATCTATATTTATCATTCCTACATCAGCAGTACCACAAGGATCTCTTCTTGGGCCGTTACTCTTTAACCTTTATGTCAATAATATATGCATATGTATAAGCTTTAAATTCGCAAAATTTATCATATACGATGACAATCTAAAAATTTATTATTCTATAACTTGTTTACTTGATAGGATTTTGTTTCACCAAGATCTAGATAGATTTTGCGATTATTGTAGAAAACATAATTTGTTTGTGAATGTATATGTGTAGTTATATGCAGTTTACTCGACGTAACACTTATTTACATAACAATTATATCAGTAATGAATATACACTTCAACCAGTGGATAAAGAAAAGGACTTGGGTATATTTCTCGACTCCAAATTATTAGGCATATATGAGCATATACGAGCATATACCGGGTGTCCGCGCGAAAACTTTAAATAGAATTATTTCTGGTGTTTTAAAATATATCGACTTGAAATTTTGGAAGGTCATTAAGGAAGTAAGGGGTAAATTAATAGTGTATAAGATACCACTCCAACGTGATATCTGCCGCCCCCAGCCACCCCCGGTTCAAAAGTTTAAATGACACCCTGTATTTTTTTTACATATTCTGAAAGAGCGTAGTTTTTTTAGTATCTCTATGTGAAAAAATTACTTAATTACATAATGAACTTTGAAAGATATTTACAGCTAAAGGTTCAGATACCAGATATTCAAATATCGAAAGCAAAAAATAATAGCAAGCCATGAAAGCTGCTTCGTTGCTTGAACTGTCAAATAATATTGTTTGTGACACTTCTGTTTACTCGTTAGTACAAAAGTTTTCGAAAAAATTTGACTTAGTTTAAATTAAATAGCTAAAAAAATAGAAAAATGGTTTACAGTTTGGAAGAAAGAACTGAAATTGTAGTTTTATATGGGATTGCAAACAGAAACTATTCGCAGACGGCAGCATTATTTAACGAAAACCATCCCAACAAAAATGTATCTGCTGTTTATGTAATTAATCTAATACAAAAAACGTGATATGAATAAACGTGGAGCACGAGATGAAGCAACGCAAGTTGCAGTTCTTGGTCACGTAAATTTAGACACACAGCTTTCAGTTAGAAAATTATCAGAAGCTTCGGGAGTGGCAAAAACAACGTGCCATAAAATATTAAAATTAAATAAAATGCATCCTTATAAAATACAGCTTCATCAAGAGTTGAGCGACGATGACTTCGATAGAAGAGTCCAATTTTGTGAAACTATGACAGGCATGATTCGGCAAAATAGAAATATTTTGCGAAATATTTGTTTCAGTGCCGAAAGTTGCTTTTCCTTAAATGGTTTCGTAAATAGACACAATTGTCGATATTGGAGCGATGTTAATCCCCACGTTTTCCGAGAAGGCCATACGCAACGTCCCCAAAAAATTAATGTATGGGCTGGAATTCTAAATAACCAAATAATTGGTCCAATTTTCTATCACGAGGATTTAACTGGGCCTAGATATCTCGAGTTTTTAGAAGAATTAATACATCCTCTTATCATTCAGTGCTTGGAAGAAAACTTAGATCAAATGCAGGAGGATCAGTTATACTTTCAGCAAGACGGAGCTCCCCCTCATTACTGTTTAGAAGTAAGGCAATATTTAAATACCGTTTTTCCAGGACAATGGATAGGTCGTAGGGGTCCTATTGAATGGCCAGCTCGCTCCCCAGACTTGACCCCACTGGATTTCTTTTTATGGGGACATTTGAAGTCTGTTGTTTACAGGACACCACCACAATCCATTGATGATTTGCGTAATAGAATCATAGAGGAATGTAGAGATTTAACACCACATGTCTTTGAAAATATTCGGAACGCTTTCGAGAATAGACTGTACTATTGTTTAAATGTAAACGGTGAACATTTTGAACATTTTATTTAACTAAAAAAATAAAAAGAGTCCTTACTTAAGTTTCTAAAGCGAAATTTTGTTGGTCTATAAGAATACCTATTTTTGTGATAAGTTGTATTTTTTTGTGATAAGTTGTATTTTTTTGTGATAAGTTATATTTTTTGGATAATTAGATTTTTTTGTTTCTATCTGATTTAATTATTTCGAAATTTGTCTACTGTCCAAGGTTACTAGTTCTTTTTTTTAATATCTGGTATCTGAACCTTTAGCTGTAAATATCTTTCAAAGTTCATTATGTAATTAAGTAATTTTTTCACATAGAGATACTAAAAAAACTACGCTTTTTCCGAATATGTAAAAAAAATACAGGGTGTTATTTAAACTTTTGAACCGGGGGTGTCTGGGGGCGGCAGATATCACGTTGGAGTGGTATCTTATACACTTTTAATTTACCCCCTACTTCCTTAATGACCTTCCAAAATTTCAAGTCGATATATTTTAAAACACCAGAAATAATTCCATTTAAAGTTTTATATCACTAGTAAAGCAAATAAAACATTGGGCTTTATTTGAAGAACAAGTTACGAATTTAAAAATCCTCATACAATTAGAGCCTTATATTGTGACGAAGTCACTAATTTTTATTTTTAATTCTTCTTAAAAATATATATTTCAATTAATTCCCGCCTGAGAACATGTAGAAGTTCCCCCGTATTTCTGTTTACCGTTTTTCAA